AGCATGGTCAAACTTGGCCTCAATACCCATCATGTACTTAAATTGGATGGGGCTACATAGATGTGTTAGGAAGCCTATTTGGAGAAAGACCTCTGCTACTTGCCTTCACTTTTATTTGTTCTTGGATTATTATCACATTACCAAAAATATGGCTGAATGGCATGACCTCATCACATTTTTACATGATTTCCAATCACCTCAACAATAAATTTATGTTCTGTTTTGCATTTTAAAAACAATGGTCCTGACCCTGCATACCAACTAGAGAAGCAGCTGTGAACAGGCAGTGAGCGTCACATGAAAAAGTTAAGGAAAGGTGGTTTCATGCATTTTTTCACACATACTCCCAAATTCCCCTTCTCATTCTCAACATGTTTGTGGGCAAATATTTGGCAGAGCCCTGTAATTGCCCAATACATTCCTCATGTAAAGCAGACTAGCAATATTTTTATTCTCCTCACACACTGGGCCCCCTCTATACTATTGTTACCTAATGGGAGAACAGCGAACACGTTTTGGTGGATTTGAAAGAAACTCAGTATGAAGATTAAGAAAGATCCACTCTCCACACAGACACATTCACCGATTACATATATTACAACAGAGCAGTATTTGCAAATGGTCTTACTCTATACCAGGCACATCCAACTCCCAAGAGACTGCGATCTACTCACAGTATAAAAAGACTGGCTGTGATCTACCCATTGTCATTGCCAGGAGTTGTTGAGCTTTTTTTGGGAGGGGTGGCCACTAAACTTCACACCACGATCTACCTGGGACACCCCTGTGATCTACCAGTGGATCACGATCTACCTGTTGGACATGCCTGCTCTATACTATAGCATACTTAGCATAATTGTTATTTCAACCATTGTTCTAACAATGAAGACAGCCACACTGGATCATTATAGCAGGTCACAGTCACATTTAGGAAGCTAATTCCTATGATGAAAGAACAGAAGATGAAGACACTAACTCTTATTGTTCAGTGCTTATGAAGAGAAAACCGCATCAGCTACACCTGCACTGGAGGCCTAATACTTTATTGACAATATTTAAAGGCTCGTCATCCTCTGGACATATTTATTTTGCTTTGCTTAGTAATCCAAGATGACCTGACTAATTGCCCTAGCTTTTAAGAGGCTGACAATAGCTCGCTTCTTAGATCACAGTGAAAGGCAAAGGCATGGAATGTAAAGACACCTACAGTTCTAGAACACAAAGGAATTCATCTGTGAATCTGTGCTGACTCTGAGGCCTGGTGTTATAGGAGAGGAAACCAATGTATCAGGACCCACTGTTTCCACAACCTTCCTAATTTTACACACTTCTAATCAGTGGTGGACGAACCCTCTCTGTCACCTGGAGTGGTATGTCGAGGGGTGGGGCGAACCGCCTGGCAGCCCGATCGGACTGAGCATGTGCGGCAGCCCGTACAAAAGCCCGTACAGATGCCATGCATGAGTGGCAGCCGAATCGGACTGCGCATGCGCGACAGCCTGTACGGATGCTGTGCGAGCAGCACCCACACTGAGTGTGTGCGTGCCCTTCGCTGCTCCACAGCTGGGGGAAGGCAGTGGCCATCAACCCCCCCCGGGTGGCGAACCACCCCCTCCACCCCCCTTCATATGCCACTGCTTCTAATATGTCCTTCCGTTGTGGATTGCTACTTCTACCTCCACTCCCTTCTAAACTAGGGCTGCAAATCTGAACATATCTTTTGGGCACTCAGCTCCACTGAACACAGTATAGCTTATTCCTGAGTAAAGGTTGATCGGCTTGCATTGTAAAGAGACAATTTAGTTTATCTTCATAAGCTCCTGTTTCAATTTAGTTCAGAACTTGATTAAAAGTAAGTGTTTTACATCTACCGCTAAACTGAGATCACAATGATGATGATTTTACAAAATGCCACCGTTGTATCTTGGAAGCCAAGGAAGCCTATACTACTTCATGCAACATCTAATCTATAACTCATGCTATACTTCAGAAATTATGGGATATTAACAAACCTGTTTCCTTATTGCAAAGCATCAAGTAAGAATATTACTCCTATTCCTACAGCAATCCTGTACACATCTACGCAGAAGTCCCCTTGAGTTAAATGAAACTTATTCCCAGATACAGGATTGTTATCTTTCGCCAAACTCAGAATTAATAAAGGAAGGGTTCAAAAGAAATTAACATTGCACTCAGAACTATTGGATGTTAAGCCATCTGGTCTCATGCAATGAGTTGCATCGGGCACTGAGGAGTTGGGGTGAGTGAGGGAGGAGAAGCTAGCCACAGATTTTCATCAGCGAGCTGTTAAATTAGTCCTTTTGCTTCACAGGGCTTGTTTTATTCAATCTGCCTTTATTAAGAACACAGGTTTGATTCTGTGAGGAACAAATTCTTCTAAGTTCTTAAAAGGAAAATGGTTGTAAGCATGCTTTTATTAGGCTGCATTACTGGATAACCAATACAACATGTTACCATTATGAATCATCTGATTTAGAGTGACACGAAAAGAACTTGGAGGAGTGGGGCGGGGGGAAACTCCCAGCCAAAACACTGGCAGGCCACAGCTCACCAGGCCAGATTTGATTGGCGCTTGCTGAGTTTTCAGCTGTGCTCAGTAGCAACCGTGTCTACGGCTTATCATTATTTAGACTACACTTCCCAGACATGTAATAGCGTTGAGGAAATCAGGGCCAGGCTGAAGGCTTGTCTACATTACAAATGTAAACCAGTTTCAAACCTGTTTATCCCTCTTAACTCTAGCCTAACTGAGAGACTGGGGTCTGTAGTTCTACAAAGGAACAAAGGACTTCTAACAGAATTCTCACAATCCACCCAAATGTACAATTCACACAGATTTTTTTATATATATAAAAAAAGAGAGATCGTGACAGTTAAACTGATTTCAAACTATAATGCTATGGTGTGGATAATATGCTCTCCAAGACACAAACAGAGTGCTGCAAAGACAATCCCTCTACAGTGAAAGAATTAACCAGGAAAACTAAAATCATCTAGGCTTGACTCTCATTAGGGAGCCTTGTGTATTAGACCTTGCCAAATAGATAGAGGCAACACTATTTTGCCATAATACAGCTTTTGCTATCCATTGCACACGGTCCTGCTTTTTAAATTGTCCTTTTGTAGTGTGACATGAAATTAATGGATTCATCATTCACTGACCAATTGCATATATGTCTCAGCGTTGCTCTAAAGAGCTCAAGGCAGCACACAGCTCTCCCCTTTTGTATCTTCACAACAGCCCTTTGAGGTAGATTAGTTTTAGAGATAGTGATTATTAGTCCAAAGTTCATGGCTGAATGTGGATTGAACTTGGATCTCCTCAGTCCTAGTAAGGCACTCTAACCACTACATACACGGCTTCTCACCAGTTTTACTGTTAGTCATACAAATGTATTTCTTGGGTGATTCCCGACAAGGTATTTACTCTGGGACAGCCATTCTTTATTCACTCATTTCCCCCCACTCTGGGCATTCCCATTATGTAATCAACATACTGTCCTTATCCTGGGTTTTCCATTATATTGCTTCCATTTGTTTCTGAAGCTCAGGAAGGAGAATGACTAAGAACACCCTCTAATTAAAGGACTAATTAAAGAGCCTGCCCACTTTGGCCCTCGCCATACAGATGGCATATGAGATTGAAGTGAAGGTCAAGCATTTTATTAGATACAGTGTGGAACCACAGTAGCAATGTTGCTTGCAGCTCTTTGTGCAAAGAGCTACGTCTCAGGAGGAAGGCTAAAGAGTTGCAGTTTAGATACACCCATTATATGTGATTTAGGAATATGCATGGATATCTACACCACCAAACTTGCCTTTTTAAGCAACAGGTTGAGCTAGCTGTTTATTGTTGGAATATACTGAGGAGAAACTGAAAGGACCTGGAAAAAAGGGATAAAGGCGGGGTTTAGCCCATAACAATGAGATATTCTATTTTTAAAAAATAGGTTTTAAATTTAACCAGCGGGAGAAGCTGAAACCTTCCCCTGAGTTTTAATGGAAGCACGCAATGCTGGAGATGCTGCCTACTGAGCACCTAAGGTAGCTGCACTTGTCGGTTTAGTTTTTAAATGCCCACCCACCCGATTTGTTTGAAATTAAAAAGAGTTCACTGAAAATGCAACAGCTGGGTCACTGGACATCTTCAGAGTCCATCATTTTGTTCACATTCTTCAGCATTAACTGATAAATGCCCCTAAAGACAATTACTAGGGGAGTAGGTAAAAAAGATAAAGGACCCCTGGACGGTTAAGTCCAGTCAAAGGCGACTATGGGGTTGTGGTGCTCATCTCACTTCAGGCTGAGGGAGCTGGCGTTTGTTCACAGACAGCTTTCCGGGTCATGTGGCCAGCATAACTAATACGCTTCTGGTGCAACGGAACACCGTGACAGAAACCAGAGCGCACGGAAACACTGTTTACCTTCCTGCCACAGTGGTACCTATTTATCTACTTGCACTGGCATGCTTCCAAACTGCTAGATTGGCAGGAGCTGGGACAGAGCAATGGTAGCTCACCCCATTGTAGGGATTCAAACTGCCAACCTTCTGATCGGCAAGCCCAAGAGGCTCAGTGGTTTAGATCACAGCGCCATCCGTGTCCCTATACTAGGGGAGTAAGCCTCACTGGACACACTTGGACGTCACTTACTTCTAAATAATCATATATGGGATTGCCCTGAGAGGCCATTTATGAAGTTGCTTTGTTAAGGGAAGAACAACTGTGATTCATTTATAGAAAATGGCAGCCTTGTCTGATGGATAGCCAACAATTACCCCAGACCCTCTTTCCTTCCCTCCGTCTTCGTTCCTACCTCCACCAGAGTCCCAACTCCCACCAACTCATTGTCACAAACACAATAACAGTAATTATCCTATAATTGAGCACTACAGTCACACTCTAGCCAAAGACGTCAGTGCGGGAAGGAAACTGGTAATGTTCACAGTGATTATTTATTTCCCCATTGTCTCATACATGGGTGGTATCTGTTGGGAAACCGGCCTTTCATCAACCCACTTCATCTCTCCCTCTAGCTCTCTGTAGTTGCTCCCACTCTTGTTAACAATCAGAATCCACCTAGGCAAGGCTTGTCTGCCAGTGGTGCTCCTGGCTAGACATCAGAAGAGAAAGGGGCAAAAGATTTGTTAATGTGTGGAAAAAACCCTGCCAGGATCTCAAAATTATTTTAATAGATTTCTTGTAATTGTGCTTCACTAAGGCTTTGTAGAGAGAAATTCAAAGCATCGTTTTCTAGCCTAAGGCTTCCATACTGTATCATGATATGAAGATGTTCTAAAAAAAGACATTTTGCTATTACAGAGGTTAGGGTGGTGGTGGAGGAAGCAAATGTTCATTAATAACATATAGTCTACTTTCAAGGTGTCATTTCAATACGAAAGGAGCAGTGATGCATTTAGGTGATTTTAGACTCTGGGCCGGATCTATCTTAGGGACTCCATCAGCAGAAGTGCTGTGCAATGGCTCCCACTTACGTAACAGGGCATTCCCCCTTCTCCTCCCCCCATGGACCCTGCCCGCCCCCAATGGGCTGTGTGGGAGTCAGGAGAACTCCCAGAACAGTGCATGGGGTGATGGGGGATAATTCCATTTGACAAACTGGGGGGGCAAGTGAAATAACTGGAGCATTGGCAGAGCAATCTTAAGTGGTGGTGGTGGGGATGGAATGATAGACCTACCCACCCATCCATGCCCTGTCTGCTTGCTCCAGCCAGGAACATCATCAGTAGTGCTTTTTGGTGGAGCAGAAAAGGCTCCTATTCATGGGAGCAGCAGAGGCTCACAGAGATAGGCAGACAGGCCCCTCTGCCATATCCTAACCAGGGGGTTAGGATTGCTTTCTCAGAGAGCACTATATAAGCATCATTATTAAGGCAGCTTTACATGTGAGATTGTGTTTGCCTGAAGTTCCCTCCCTCACACAAAGGGACGTTGTGACATCGCAGCTGATGAGGCTCACAGTCTCCAACTCCCAGCCAATGCACAAATGTGTTTCTATCGTTGGCCATGTAGCTGTATTTTCCACTGTCCTGCTGCAGAAAGAAAGTCCAGGCAATCTATCTATCTATCATCTATCTATCTATCTATCTATCTATCTATCTATCTATCTATCTATCATCTGAAAGCTCCTTATGCCAGCCACTGAACTTAATAGCAAAAATAATACTTATAAGAATACATTGCTATAACAATGAGCTACAGTATGAAACATCTCCTGGATTCACTTTTCCTTGCATTATTGATAAGCATCAGTCAGAAGGAGGGTCTATAGGTTAAATCTATATTGCTTTGAATTTCCCTTCTATGGCCAAGATCAGACGCCATCAACACATCTTGAACTGATTTAAGGCCCTGGGGTGTTACTTAGTGCCATTCAAAACACAGCAAGCCATTTTCCATGCGCCGAGGCCACTAGGGCTCGTTAGAATGGCATTTTTAATAAAAGTGGAGTGTAGCTACAACAGTTTGCAGCCCTGCTCTCCAGATCAACCGCTATGTACGTCATTCCCCTCTGCCCCCATTCACATACCCTCCAGACTTTTGACTATAAGGACAAATTCATATTAGGTGTAATTCTACTGAAACCAATACCATTCCAACCAACATACATTAGAGTTAAAGTCATTTGAAGTTACCATAAAAATGTGTGTATGTGTGCATGTTTATTTTTATTTTTAGAAGGTTCCATGGCACGAAAGAAATCCAATTAATAAAGAGATGAAAAAGAACATATCTGGTTGAGGATCTCTTTAGAACCATATTTTTATCCTGGAAACAATGAGAAGGAGTTAACTATAGCATTATCTATCTACTGCTAGGAATGGATTAAAATTAGAATGACAACACTCAAAATAGTGGACTAATGCAGAATGAAATGACCAATGGAAGATTATTCTGCAGGAGAATTATTCTGGCTGTGACTCTGGCCTATGAGATCATTTCATTTCATTTTAACCGACATGCAAAGTTTCAGGGGTGAAGAAAAAATCTGTCAAATTTTTGTGAGCGTGCTATCAAACCCACATAAAGCTTTGTTGCGGTACAGTAAGAATATCTGAGTTCCATGATAAATCAAATGAAGAGTCAGGCAAGACAGGATATTGTCTCCAATGGTGGTTCATCAGATGATCCAGCAAAGTTCATAAAAGTGTCAGATGATGGTATCCATTTCCTTCTCCCCTTTCTTTGTTCCCAGTCTCACTAGAGAGAGATACCATCTCTGCCACTGACAGCTTCAGTTTTGACTATTATATATATATATATAAGCTTTTTATATGTATTTTAGTAACCAGTAAGATTTCTTTGTGTATTTAGAAAACACTCATAAAATCATTTAGTCTTTTACTATTATTAAATCTGCTAGTGGTCAAGTGACCACCACCATCACTGCTTATTGCAGTTAATAAGCAATAATTAATTATAACCCCATTCAGGAGTCATTCTTTTTGTATGCCTTGTCGATGAACCCCAATTTTGAAAGTATAAATATTATTTTGTCATTCTCTGAACATACCATTTTATAACTCTGTTTTCTTTTAACCATTTTTACCTCAGCTAAAAGTTCCTTAACATTTAGAAATTATTCATAAAGAATATGGTCTATTTCTCTTTACCATTTTAGATGTCCTTTCTTTTTGGTTCCTCCTCTAGACATTCTTGGAAGAGGGCAACCAGAACACCACAAACACACACACACACACACACACACACACACACACACGAGAGAGAGAGAGAATTAGATATGCACCCATACACCCACCCTGGATCGCAATCATTGCCAGGAGTGCTTTTGTCTGTTACATCCAATATTTGATGACTGCCACATGAGGTGGCTCTGAAAAAGTGTCTAGAAGCTCCTGCTACTTCAGAGCACTGTGGTATAGGTTTAAAATCCAAAATGCTAGTTATTACCTCTATAGCTTGAAGTGGCTTAGGACCAGAATACACAAAGGACCACCCACACCCGCCTGCTCATTAAAATATATTTCATGTTCCACTCATGTTTGAGGTGTTCTGGGGTGAAGCATGCAGGAGAGACCCTTCTCTGGTTTTGTCTAGTTTTTGGAATACCCAACCTAGGGAGGTCTGCCTTGCCTGTTCTATGATTTTTATTTTTGCCATTTCCCCCCTGGCAGCCATTTGGCCAGCCAAGCTAATGTTCCTTCTAGTGTTTAAGAGAATGGCTAGTTCACATGCTTATTTGATGTGCCCCTGCTGTATTTGTTTTTTTGTTTTGTTAATACATATTGTTTATTTTCTTACATTTTATCATTTTAATATTTGTTGTAAGCTTCCTAGAGCAGAGGTTCCCAAACCAGCTAGTCTACGGTGTGTCTGTGGATTGTGGCTTAAGATGGGAGATGGCAAATCCATCATATTAAATATTCACATTGGAGTTCCTTTTTTACTGTTTTTTTTATTCCTTTTATTTCTTATACTGCATTTTACTGTATTGTGATTTAAATTCTTTGGAATTCAAAACTTAACGCAATATATAAATAATAATAGCAGCAATAACCATAGCAAAGCACCTTGCACGGCATATTACAATTGTTATAACTGGCAAGAGAATCCTTAAGTGGTTGGTGCAAGGAAACCTTTTTGGGAACCACTAGCCTAAAGCATTTAAAAATAGTAAACAAACTGTGAAAAAGGCTCAGTGAATTGAAAGTGGAGATACTATAGGTACTTTTCCTTATTTATTTGTTTGCTTTGTAATAAAAAAACTTTAATAATATATATATATATATATATATATATATATATATATATATATATATATATAAAATTTAAGAAAGAAAGTTGGAATATCTATTTCTAGCATTCTTTGTCTAATTTCAAATGCCATCTGCAGGTGAACAGTTCAGACCTGTGGCAAGTAGGACCAACAGCCTGCTGAACAGCTCAGAAGGGGCTAGGAGAGAGAGAGAGAGAGAGAGAGGTTGTTGCCCCAGCCATATTTTGTTCTGGCCCCACCCCACCCCTTGTTGGCTCATGGGGTTTGACAGATTAACCTAGAGAAATGTAGCCCTCAGCAGAAAAAAATAATAAATGCTCCCCCAGCTCCTTTTTTGGGGGGAGATGATCACTGATATTGGCTTTGACAAATGACTGAAGAGTAAAAAAATGGGGAAGGGCACATTCCCTACCTTAGATCTTGCTCAGTCCCTTGTAAAGCATGTTGAGATGCTATATGAACTCCACAGTACTGTTCTGTTGTGGTGTATTTCCCAAAGGTCTTTGTTTCCCCCTCAGAAAGGAGCCATGAGGTAAAAGCCTTTTATATGTGATGTATATGTAAGAGATGCCTACACTTTCTTTCATCTTCTTGAAGTCATTTATCGCTGCTGGCTCTTTTTGGCAGGGTTCCCATCCATCTCTCTATGACACCTTGCACATGTTGGGTTTTACTGTAGTATAAATATGCACTCGTTTATATTATGTGCACCCTCGGTTCTCATTTCCCTTCCATCAGCAGCCTTCCTGGTTCCCTCCCAAAAGTCAGGTTAACTTCCTCGATGAGGTGAGGTGTGGCACGTAAGGAATAGGCCAGGGATAGGCTAACAGCCGGTGCTTTTAGCTCCCAGATTACACTGTCGCCATATGATGTCGTTTAAATATCAGGCCAACGAGGTGAATAAAACCTACAAAAGTTTATGGTGTGTAAATTACAGCTGCACCTTTCCCCTCTGCCTCTGCCTGTGGGCTCCAGGGAGTTATAAGTGAAAACAGGCCTCTGGGGGCCTATTTGAATATTCACTGGATAAAGTGCTACGGCTTTCTCACGGGACTATTCCACCTCAGTTTCATGTGGACAGCCACTACTCTGGAGGAGCCACCATGTCAAAATTTGCCAGAGCACCCAACCTTAGTGACACACATCTGGTGTTTCTAGTGGCAATTATTTTGGGGCTTCTCTGGTGGGAGGTGGGGGTGGGGGAAATATGGCTCACCTAAAGTCAGTAGTCCTCCTTTTCGGCTATTAATCAAAATAAATTAATGCTTCTTGAAAATATAAATATCACTTTTAAGAATGCATTTTCAAATGTAGAAAGAAACAACATAACTGTGTTTTATCATTGGGTATCAGAAAATTATAGAGGTGGAGGGAGCCTTGAAGGACTGCCTAGTTGACCCCCTGGAAATCAACTGCTAGAGCATCTTCAGCAGTTGGTCACACTCAATGCTTGAAGACCTCCACAAAGGAGAACACCCAAACATCCCCTGCAGATAATCGGTTCCATTGTTGAGTCCTACCAACAATAAGTTTCTCCTAACACTCAAACCAAAATTTCCTCTCCTGTAATTTAAGTCGTCTGGGGCAACGGAGAATCAGTTTTTGCTTTCTTCTGTGTGACAGCCTTTGAGGTGTCAGTGCTTGCTTCAGAAAGCAAATGTGAAAAATAAAACCATTTGTTGTATAAATAGCATTAGGAACAAAGAAGAGATGCTGGGTGGTTTGAAGCAAAATGTAGGCATTACCTTGTCACAGAGGACAGAACTGGAAAACCACTGATTTGCTGGAAAAGTAGTGTCAGATAGCAATCTAGTTATTTATTTCCTTGCTACCTTCAAATGTAGCTACCTTCAAATTTACTAACCTTAAAATAGCATTTTCTTAAAGGTCAGCACATAGTTTAGCTACCAAGAAAGCTGCCTGGGTAAATGATAGCGCAGGAGAGTCTCGGGTAGCAACCCTATTGTGCTCCCAGCCATTGTGTGGAGTGTGAGATCAGAAGACAACATGTTCCTGAGAATAGTAGGCAGCTGAACCAAGACATTTTGTCAGGTTCTTAAGACATACTGCATTTTTAAACTCAATGCTCAAAACAAAATAATGGAATAACCATAATAGGTTGGCACCAAC